AGTGTTTATGATACTAAATGTGAACTCCTATGCTATGCGTGTATTGAAAACTTTATTCCGCATGTTTTCCATTGATATCGTATTCAATGAGATTAGAGAAAGTATATGGAAAGGGAGTCTAGAATGAGACCAATAGTATGTTTGGATGCAGTGTTGAGATCACATCCAAAAGATCACAATTTGACTCTTTTTGAACATCTGCTTCATATATGAAGTCAGAGATCATTCATTTGACTTTACGATACGATTATAAAATACAGTCAAATCAAATACAAATAATTTGATGACAAAACAATAAAAGTGTGAATTTTACCAAGAATCTAAGGTGAGCTTTATTTATGTACAATATATATTTAATTGAATATATTTAAAAGTGTTATATTTTGTTTATATTAATAGTTAATTTATTTTTTAACCTTGTGATAAACTATAAGTTACACAATTTTTTACTTATTAAGAGAAATTAATAAACAAATTGGTTACATATCATTGAAGTAAACTTTTGGCATAAAATTGATTACTAGAGTATATAATATTTATTTAAAAACAAGAATAATATATTGTGTATATATTTATAGACATATAATAAAAAAGTTAAATTAATATCTAGATAATCAGATATAATAAGAATTTATGCAATTCTTGTATTTATTTAATGAATTATAATCTAATATAAGGGATATTATGAGTAAGTCTGGTTTGAATTTAGTACAGAATATGACAATTCTTTCATTTATTTGCCGTTAAATACAATATACTATTATATGATCTTATATTATATGAACTAATATTAAGTAAAAACAGTATTTCATTTAACAATGAATTCCCAATTCTATTACAAAACATAACTCTTAATAAAATTATTGAACCAAAAGATCATTTTTCCATTCAATTGGATTTGTAATATAAATATTTATTAATTTTTACTTTTCTTTTGCAAAACTTTAACCAAATCGGTTATAGAAAGCAGATATATTATTATAATTATAGTACAATTTTGTAATTAAAAGTATATTTAAAGTAATTAATTTAACAATAACTGTCAAGACATGTATTTATACGGTATTTATATATATTTAATGGTTTTCCACAAAAATGTCATCAATTATTAAAACAAATAGTGTCAGAAACTAATGCTAACATAATATCGAGAATAATATTATTTTGAGACAAAACTTGTTTCACTTACAAAACGCAATAAATATTTGTGGAAATGAAATAAACAGCAACATTTGCAAATCCAACGGAAATATTAAAATTAAAAATTCTAGTTTTAACTCTAATTTATTACATAAATGTTTATTTATTTTGATAATTACTTCGAGAAATATTTTGCTTATTTTTAAGACTTGTATCAATTATATCCAAAACACCTTTTGAATGTAAATGAATTGTAGATAAACTTTGATATTCATTTATAAAGACTTAATAAAAAAGGTGCAATAAAAATATATTTAATGTCTAATAAATATAACAAATAAATACTGTATTGAAAAGTCAGAGAGTTTTACATAATATTATATACAGTACAGAATGAATGAGTGAGAAAATCATGAGTTTATTATGCTATATTTACAACTACTTGATAATAATCTATAATACAGTAATAAATCTCTATTTACTCTATCAGATAATGTTTAATAGATTACAGACCTAATTAATAAATAACAAATCTGTTAAATATTTATGTTTAATATAATACATACTATTTTGTAGTAAATCTTCGCATACAGTATGATAGAATAGTAGCAGGTTTATCCTTGGACATGACTTATAAAATGCAACATGAATTTAATTTTTAATATTTTATTTTATAATTTAATTAAATTGTCCTTCAATTTATAATTTTGTGAAATGGTTTACGTGAATGGAGTCAAATAACTGATCGATCCGTGAATTATGACTCCAATTACTGATGTATTTTTCTCGTATTTTAAGATTTTGTGAATAAATTTTGAAAGATATAAGATTTCAACACTTGTGCCATAAAAATATCATTTTCGATGGAATTCATTAAATCTAATACTTATTTGAACGCTATTTGCTCTATATTTTAATCATTATAATTAATGCCATTTTGTAGACATCATTTTTGATTTTTATTCAAAAATCTTAACATCTAATGATTAAATTATCAATCTTTGTAAATTAAATCTAAATTTTAATACAATATTTTCAATCATTATCAATTAATCACTGAGTTGTAACCAAAGTAGGTATTGGATAATCCAACAAAAATTATAAAAAGCATAACACAGGTGATTATATACTGAAACACAATAGAAAAATTAGTTTGTTAAAATCATCAATTAAATCGTGATGCTATATATTACTTGAAAAAACTGATAGGTTGTGAACGCAAAGACTTTATGACAATAGATACCAATTATGGGACCCGAAAGGCGTTCAATAAACTTGATTAACTATTTAATTGACAATGAATAAAATTGCGAAATTATTTATTAATGAAAACATACTTTAAATTTGCATTTGAGTGGCAATTGGATGGTTATATTGAATGAATTGCTGAGACAATAGGGCCGATGGGCTTCTAGTGAGAGATTAGCGGCCGATGAGGTGACCAAATACATGAGTGAACCGCCACTTATGGCAACACAGAGGTGGGCTAAACGGAAATAATAATTTCCATCACCGTATAGGTATACGAATAATAGGACTGTTATGTTAAAAGTCGATACAACGTGATGGATAGCCATCAGATAATTAAACAAATTGTTTCCTTCGTTTGTCAATACAATTAACTTATTGTGCTTTTCTATGGTATTCACTAATTCAGTGGCATTTCTGTTATAATTAATTTTTAAAGAATCGTATATTTGCCTGAATTTTAATTTCATGTGATATGCAAACAAAAAGAGTATTGAATACGAAAACACAATACTTGATGTGATAAGGAATGACCAGTAAATTAAAATTACGGACCAAAATAGTATTGATATGAAAGTTATGTCAAAGTCTTGTTCAATGTAAGCGTAAACATTATATGAAATATAAATAGTTACAAATAGTGCTATACAACTGAATTTAATTAATTTTAAAACTAATATTTCGATGAATTTATTCATAATAAATAGTTTTTGTCGATTCTTAACACATAAATCATTAACATTATTATTTATCTCAAATATTAATTTTAAACTATACAACTGAATTTAATTAATTTTAAAACTAATATTTCGATGAATTTATTCATAATAAATAGTTTTTGTCGATTCTTAACACATAAATCATTAACATTATTATTTATCTCAAATATTAATTTTAAGTGTTTACTTTTGGCAGCTTTTTTAAATAGAATAAAAAATTAATATCAAATTTATTTTAAATATGAACCTAAAATTATAATTGCAAACCACTTACCCATAATAAAAGTTAATCTGAATAATGATCCCAATAATGAAATACCAAATAATAGTGAATTGAAAAGAATTCTGTCATTTGTATAATAAAATGGATCTCCAATTATAGCCCATATTTTCCTGTTTGAAGTGATGGCCAGTAATATGTATCGAAATGTTGTTAACCAACAGAAAATACAAATTGCAATTTGCTTTCTGTAAAACTTGTCATCATTTTCTATATTTATTAAATAATTTCGTTGTGAAAAAGATTCAATTTTTGATAACAACATAGTCTTTCGCTCCAATGAATTCAATCAGTTCTCTGTTATATATATTTTCAAGTTAAACATTTGTCTGCTGTTCAAATATAAAATTAAATTTAATAACTCTCAAATTTTTATAATAGGGTATACTTTGTTACTCAAATAGAAAAACAAACAAAAATTGTGAATCGATTTATACACTGAAAGTTAGTTCACAGAGTTCTCGAATAGTACTAACAGTATATATAATATAGTATATATAATAACAGTATATATAATAATTATCTAACACTTCAATTAAATATTATAAATCCATCATTACTTAATGCAGTGCTTAATGATTAAAATATAAATATATAATGTATATACATAAATTAGTAAGTCAAGTTATTATAAGCACGGACATATAAATACATTATAGATTCACAAACTTTATATGATGTGTTGAGAGTTAATACAGTATAACATTAATACAAAAAAACGGTATCTTTGTAACAATTGAACAAAGTCAATCTAATTTGTGTTTAAACTACGATTCAAACATTGAAATAATTAAATGTCATTGTAATTTATTTGGCAATAATAAAAATATTAAGATAATATTTAAATATAAATCTGAAAATTAATAACAAATTCATGGTTTCTCTTTCTATATGAATCGTTATTATTATATCTTACTTTAAACCAAAAAACTTTGAAGTCTAATAAAGTAATTAATAGCTATATTACACGATTGTATTGATTTTTACTGATTGTCTATAAAAGAAAAATAAATTATAAAAATAAAAATTTACAGTAACAATCAAATGTTTCTATAAATAATCTATAGTATAGATATTTATTAAAACACACAATAGTAATATTAAAATCAATAATATTTGAATGCCAATAAATTGCGAAATTATGTTTTAGATGAAAGAAATACATTAGTATTCAAATAAAAGGATTTGTTATTATAATTGAACCTATTACTTAAATAATAACTATTTATCATATTAATTTACAGACATATTTGTTAATATTATAAAAATAGTTTTTATTGCAAATAAATCAAATGTGATTTAGTTATATTTAGCTAGTTACAATATGCTTGGTTACAAATAAATAAATATTTGCTTTTCAACATTCAAAATGACAAAATTCTGACAAATGTTTTATGTTTTGAAATACTTTTAGATATATTAAGTAAATGCCGATCTAGTGTTGACTTTTAATACCCAACCATTCCTTGACATTCATATATTAATAGCAAACGTATTGACACTTATATTAAATTTCTTACAGATTCTCAGCAATTCTCTCGACAAACATAATGTGCTATAATATGAGACAAATAATTGGTGTTTTTGTTTTCGTAACCTTTTTTCATGAGATACTGAACACGAGATTTTGAGAATCAATCAAATCAAAGCAAACAACAAAAAACTCATCGATTAATGCGATAAACAAATTAAGAAGCAATGAATGACTCATTCTTAACGGAATCTCCACTCATGAGGAATGAGACCATTGAAAACATGACAGAAGATCCACTTCTTTACACTTTAGTGGAGGGCATTGTAGCGATCGGTGCTTTCATAGGCAACCTATTGGTAGTGATTGTGTTCATACAAGACAAACGGTTACGAAAAGTGACAAACTTTTACATAATTAGTTTAGCCATCGCTGACTTGTTAGTCGGACTCATAGGCATTCCGTCGGCAATACTCACCCGAATAGGTATCCCTCAGGACTCATTCAATGTATGTCTGGGTATGCTATCACTTCTGGTGGTTCTGTGTACCATATCTATACTGAATCTATTGGCGGTCTCATTGGACCGGTACTGGGCTATACTCCATCCATTAGATTATCACAGGAGGATATCAGGTATGACAGACATTCCTATCTAAACTTTTTATAACACCATAATACAGCACACTATTGTTTTATAATAAAAGGATTACAAGACAATTGAGTCAATTTGTTAATTATTTTTGCAAATTCATAGAAATATAATTCATTTATGATTATTATATACAGAGACGACAGCAATGTTTATAATAATCTCGTGTTGGATTGTGGGCGCAGTCATCGGCTTTTTACCCATTTTGTGGAATAATGGTCTCGATATGTATAAGAGTTTGGACAACAAATGTCTGTTCATTCCTGTAATGGACTATAATTTTCTAGTCTTTCTCTACTTCTCAACCATTGTATTACCGGCTCTAATGATGGCATTCTTTTACGGACGCATATATTTAGTTGTTATGAAGCAATTGAGTTACAAAAAAGTAAGCTTTCCTTTCATTATATTAGATATTTTTTGGTCAACATCTTGTGTTACTTTTCTGTGATATTTTCAATATTTAATATTAAGAATAATTTATTGCACACTATATGTGAAAAATATATTTTAATATCAAATGATTATTTAATAGTTTGCTACATATCCAATATAAAGTATAATTAAATATTATTTAATCGGTGAACACAACATTAATTTTGGCACATAAACTTTAAGCCATAAAGCAAAAGCATACAATAGTATAGCCCACGTACAGTAGTTGTTGTATAGAATATTTGCTTTTATTGTTTGCTTTGTCGATGAATATTCTGTAAATTATATCAAATGTTATACTATTTTAACTTCAATTCTAGGAAATATTGCCATTTGTTTCATCATCTCGTTTCGTTGAAAACCCCACTTTCCGGTCATTCAGTACTGGATTTTTGTCTAATTATCTCCAAAATAATTATCAAATGAGAGTCAGAGAAAGACTTTCTCTACTTCTCAACCATTGTATTACCGGCTCTAATGATGGCATTCTTTTACGGACGCATATATTTAGTTGTTATGAAGCAATTGAGTTACAAAAAAGTAAGCTTTCCTTTCATTATATTAGATTTTTTTTGGTCAACATCTTGTGTTACTTTTCTGTAATATTTTCAATGTTTAATATTAAGAATAATTTATTGCACACTATATGTGGAAAATATATTTGAATATCAAATGATTATTTAATAGTTTGCTACATATCCAATATAAAGTATAATTAAATATTATTTAATCTGTGAACACGACATTAATTTTGGCACATAAACTTTAAGCCATAAAGCAAAAGCATACAATAGTATAGCCCACGTACAGTAGTTGTTGTATAGAATATTTGCTTTTATTGTTTGCTTTGTCGACGAATATTCTGTAAATTATATCAAATGTTATACTATTTTAACTTGAATTCTAGGAAATATTGCCATTTGTTTCATCATCTCGTTTCGTTGAAAACCCCACTTTCCGGTCATTCAGTACTGGATTTTTGTCTAATTATCTCCAAAATAATTATCAAATGAGAGTCAGAGAAAGCATTTCATTAAAAGTTGATTTCAAACTGCGATCCCAACGCTAAAAGTAATATAAATTAAATGTAAGGATTATAGAAATAAAAGTTTTTAATAGTAGACAGAAAACAAACACTAAAACTAACGGTAGACCACTAGGGGCCAGGGGTTTAAATCTAATCTATTATATTGAAGCAAAATTAGTAATGTCAATGTGATAGGTAGTTTTGATCACTTACTTAAGCTCTTGAGGTACAACCATTTGTTTTGACATTCACTAAAATTGTGACATTAAGTTAACCTGCCTGTCCACCCCTGACATTCATATAAAACACATGATAATGTGTTTATCAAAACAACTTTAAGCATTTCTCATAAGTTTTGATTTGTAGAAAAATAAAATAACCAACAAATATATAGATATATTTTATGTAATAAATAATTTGGACATAAGTTTACAAACCAAAGCTTAAACACGTTTAGGAAATATAATAAATAGATTGAAATACTGTATTTTATATATAAACTCATTGTTATATTATCTATGAGTTTTACAATTTACAAATTTTACAATAATCTTAATATAAATTAATGTAAATTACAGTAAACTCTATTACTGTATATTGCTGCAATTTTTAACCAAAAAGAGTTTTTAATAAAACAATTATCAACAAATGGTTTACTTATATGTTGAGTCAAACAAAAATCTAATTTAATTTCAATTGTGTGAAACAATTATCACAATAATTCACTCAATGTTTCCGCAAAACAATTAGTTGCGTTAAAGTCTGAGTGAAAATAAATTGAATCCCAAACTAATCTAATGATCGCATAATTCAATGCAAGAGATATTTGCTGAAAAATATATACAGAAAAAACAATTCATGAACTTTGTACTTATTTTTACAGAATTAGCTCTATTCGTAACATAATTTGAAATTCAAATCTCAAAATTTGTATAACTCTTTAATATTCAGAGTCATAAATTATAAATTACCAAAAATACATACAAATATTTATTTAAATATTTTTGAGAATCTGTCAAAAAATTATGGTTTCTGATTGAAATTTAATTTATTATATCATAGTCTGTCTATTTATTTGGTATAAAAATAAAAGCAAAATTTTATGTCATATTTGATAAAAATTGAAGTCATATAGAATATAATTAAATGACAATTTTGGTGAAACATTCAGATCTAATGTAAATATAAATAATATAAAACTTATAATGTAATGCTAAGTTAATGATAAGTTATAAAATAAAAGGGAAAAGTTAATAAACGTATTAACTGTTTATGAATTTATGAATCCTATAATGAATTGTTTACAATTCTATGTGGAGTTAGTATATTAAAGGCCGAATATACTGTATAATAGTAATATTGATTTGTAAACTATATGACAAAATGTTTAGTTTTTTATATAACAAAACTGAGAGTAATTTCATATATCAGTCACAGAGTAAGAGACATATATTCTGTACTTAAAGTAATTCAAGCATATAATTCGGTTTCAATCAAAACTGCTTTTGACAACAAAATTAGTTTACGTTATATTACTATTATGGTAATTATTACTAAAAATATAATATGTCCACCAATGACACCAAATTTTGCCAATACTCTTATTAAATCATATTTGATTAAAAGCACTTAATGTTATTAATACTATATTTGCCCTTATTTATGTCAAAAATGTGAATATTTTGACTAAACAGATTATATTCGGCTTATTTTAATTAAATAATAATTTTTATATTGATATTATGTCATAAATTCTTGTGTTGAATTTAGCACTAAATTAAAACCTATTATTATATTAAGTGTTTGTCTATTATATTTCAACTAAACTAACAAGTAAGTTGTGTAATGAATGTTTGAATTTCAATATACAATAATTCTTGTATTCACTTAATATTGTTAGAAGTTTTGTGTGTTAAATGTTAAACCATATCTACTACAGTAGTACAGTAACTAATAAATATCATTGTGTTCACATCTAAATTTCTAATATATATTCAGTTTTCGAGTTTTATATCAAAACTTGTCATACATTTAAATAAATGAATAATAATAGAAATTGTTCTAGAAATTGAAATATGTTGCTTAAAATAATTAAAATATTCGGTACCTAACAAACTTTTTATTTAAACTAAATAAAAATATTTAAAAACATTATTAATCAGATCTAAAAACTACAGTGTCTAAAATGTGCCTAAATTTATGCTTTTTTGTTATACAATAAGAGTTAAATAAATAGTATTTTACAGAATAAATTTGATGACTCTATTCAATGTAGAGAATTTCAATTAAATTAATTAAAAAATTTTATTACATAAAGTACAATAATACAATTATCATGCTATTGTATACGAGTAGAGTAGAGTAAATACTATTATCAAATTCTATAAACTCTATCGAATTATTACTTCAATTATTGTTCTTATAATTATAGTCGAAAATATTAATTATAATGTATTTGTTTGTCATTAAATGATAGGTTCTTCAAGTGTCAAGCGGTCACTATAGCCAGAGGTCGGGCCCCAGTAGTCGACAATGTAGTGACAGACGTAAGAATCGTTTCGAGACGAGTTCGTTGGACTCATCCATAAACAGTCCGACAGACATAGCGGGTGTATCGCCAGTGCTTCCAAAGTCGCGATCGTTGGCTACACTCAAGAGTCTGAACCATAACTGCAGCCAATGTGTAGTCAAACCAATTAAACTGAGTTATAGTAAACGAGAGGTGAAAAAGGCTCAGAAGCTCTTCATAATAGTCGTGTTCTTCATGTTTTGTTGGATTCCGTTATACACTCTCAACACAATTCACGCCTTTTGCGAGGAGTGTCAGGTGTCCAAAAACGTAGTCGACCTCATGATCATACTGTCCCATCTCAATAGTGTCGGCTCACCCTTTCTGTACGCTTTTCACATGAAGGACTTTCGTGAAGCGTTACGGCGACTGTTGTGTGAGTGTGCGATACGTCAGCGACACTTCCGAGACCTCCGAAGACAGGAGCTCTTCAGCATTAGTCTGAACCCAAACCACAGAAGAGTTCCCAATAATACTCTGGAAATGTGTGAAAATACACCCGAAATGACACCACAATTATCGCCTAATCAGTCGCTGAATAAGATCTCAACATTTAATTAAATTTCATATTAACTGATGTATTGATGTATTCTGAATACAGTATTCATATTCTGTATAATTCTTTGACCATTAATTCAATGTTTCTCTGTTTTAAATATAAGGTATATTTATTTGTGAAATAAAATATTTATAAAATACTTGTATTTTATTGCAATTCAAGCCTACTATATTGGATTCAAACACATCGAGTATATTTTTGTACACTTCAATGCATATCTAAATTTAATAGCACAGTAATAATGAAAGCAAAGTTGAAATTAATCATTGGATTTGTGAGATCATATTCTATCAATAAATTACTTGAGTCCTTGATTTGATGTTATGTTCAGAAGACAGAAATTAATTATGAATATAATTTATAAACGCAAAATTACAGATATGTTAACGCTCTTTCAAACAATTATTAGCATTCAAACAAAAGTCACTTATTTTAGTTCATTTCAAATCAACATTTAAATTATTAACTGATTTTTACATTAATATAAAGCAACCATTAAAATCAATTCTTAATCCTATAATGACTACAATTGTTTCGGATGTGTATCCCATTTGGATCATCGAAAGTGTCAAACAAACACTCATTTCAAAGGATAAGAATAGGAAGAATGGTCTCACTATTAAGGACCGGAAACATGTCAAAGAGATTACACAACGGTTTGGCGTCAAAGTAAATGGTTTAAGAAAATCAGAGACAAAACCAGTGAAGAGTCCAGATTTGAAGTTCAGATATTCAGACGAAACTCTTTGCTATTATTTAACACTCGACCCAAAAGTTAGAGATTCAAAGACAGGGCTCTACTATTTGGGTCTTCATCTGCATCTGAAAACCAATCCAATCGAGTCATTCAGTGGAAAGATATCGAGTTTCCAAATATCGGTGACAAACACTAGATGTGGTCAAATCAAGACCAAAACAAGTGATCAACTGTTCTTCAGTCACGAGTGCGGGTGGGGCTGGAAGTACTTCATCGTCAAAGAGGATATTATGGATACTTGCAAGAGATCTCTTGATTTAAATCTCTTGGTTTCCATAACTTTGATAGAACTCAAAGATCTCTCTGTGAACGATGATCACGACATGAGTTGTGGTGATCACAAGGGATGCGATCACTTCGCCTTCAATCACGACTTGCTAACCGATCAACACTTCTGTGACATTACATTCATAGTGGACGGAACTCCTCTGAAGGCCCACTCAAGACTATTGGGCGCAAAGTCACCGGTATTTAAGTCGTTGTGCGCCAAACAAAATGTAATACCAATTGTCACAATGAATGCCATTGTCTTCTATGAGTTCCTCTTATTCTTATACAACGACTATTCGCCGAACATTGAGAAGCACTGCAAAGAATTGTTGATTGCATCCAATGAGTACCACATCCCACACCTGAAGTACATGTGCGACAACTTATGCTTCAGACACTTGTGTCCAAAGGATGCAATCGATGCCCTCATGTTTGCCATCAAATTCAAGACAATAAGCACTCGAATCCGCACTCTTTGCTACATTGGAGTCCATTTGGATTCTGTTGTCAACACATCTCAAGACAAGTGGAAAACATTTAAAGCAGAGAATCAGTGCTTATCTGAAGAAATTGAACACATCTCTGAAATGAAATGTCAATGCATTCAACACTAATTCATTAAATTTGCCTAATATTAGTATACAAATCAATTATCAATTATAAACTCATTTAATCGATAAAACTGTGTATAAATTCAATCAGAATTCATTGAAGTTAACTATAGTATTACTAAATAAGCAGAATTTTTAAATAAGTATTGGACTCAAATCCATTAAACTAATGAATATATGATTTTATTATAAATACAACAAATTTCCAAATTTTTGAGACTTTTTGGTAAACTTTTGGTTATTTGTGATATATCAGGACAGTTGTAACCAATAACTAATGACTTCAATAGTGGTAATTGTGTGATTAATATAACCGGGTCCATATTAAACACATAATCCAATGGTAAGTAAAGTTTTTCCAAACTTGTGGACAATAGTTGACCCAATTGTCTGACCTGTTGTTCATTGAATTGAAAGAAACCATCTTTTACTTTGAGTTCTTTCAGTGATTTGAAAGCATTGATAATCTCATAAAAGACATGGAAATTGGTCTCAAAGTGTCTTAAAGCCAAAAACTCAATGTTTGGAAACTTTCTTGAAATCCAAACAATTCTCTCTTTGCTTCCTATAAGACATATCTTTTGGTTTGAATGGCATTCAAACATACGAATGGGAAACTCATATTTCTTGGGAGTGACCCTCCATTTGGGACAGTAGTGATCGATCACAACCTCTGAATTGATTCCAATGTGTTTCAGTCTTCGGCACCAATAGTTGACACACAACTGGAACTGTTTGGACACTCTTTCCATACGAATCCAATAATTTGTGTCCAGATATGTGAAGATATCGATTAAGACATGGATATTGAGTATAACTGGTGTCTTAAGAAGTTGTCCGCTGTCTTTGAAACTCATATTTACTTAATTTTGTCAAAAGATAACTGTTTATTGAATTCATAGATTACCTTGCTCATTGATCGTACAGAATATTGACTTATTTGTCATAAAAGTGCAGAATTTGTTCATTCAGTGAAAGCAGTGTTTGAGACAATGAGCGCCTTCTGTGATGCAAGCATTGAGTCATTCATTGCAGACATTGAATGAGACAAACAATGAATGCATTTATAAATACAGTGTTAATAGCATTGCATTCAACACTCAATTGACTGTCACTTGTGTCCAAACGGGTCCTCAATGTCCACCACTTGACACAACCATCACTACAAACACGTCTTCACATCCATTATCACTACAATTATCACAACAATTGTCTCTCAGTTCATGTGTTAATGTTTTCAATGAACCGATCGCTCGATTGTCACTCATATTGAGTCACCAGAAGAATAAGAAGACGAAGAAGTGGTGACAATCAAGACGTGGTGACAATCAATGAAGAAATACAACCGCATTAACGACTTCTTAGCCGATAATAACGGCTCACAGCAGACAATGAATGGCATCGATAGACACGACAGACACCAGTCCTCTGCATCACAACAACGCTTCCATCAGACGAACCAAAACCTTCAGAACCGAATCCAACGCCGATATGAAGCCGACGGCTCCGAAGAGGAGGAGATTCAACGCCAGAATCATTTGCTGTCGACTACTATGTCCTCGCAGTCGACGCCATCGCAGTCATCGGCGGCGCAGACTATGATGTCGTCGTCTGCGACAGCGTTCGCGCCATCGATGCAGAGGAATATGAACTCTGGTTCGGGCGAAGACACGGGCGGTGCCAACAGTCTTGTGTCCAATATATCCAATATCGACGCCAACAGTCTCTACAGTAAACTCAAAGAACTACAGGAAGCGGAACAGAGGCTGAAACAAGTGGAAGACCTGATGAAGAGTATCGAGAAAATGGAGAACAATATCAAAGAAGTGAAGAGGGATTCAGTTGTTGTTCACAACGAGTCGCGCGTCAAGACATCCAACGAAATGCAGACCAAATACACCCAAAGAAACAATAATAATGTGACGAAACCTGTGGTGAAGAGTGTCTCGCATTCAACGCAAACACAACCCAAACAATTGCCACTCTCTTCGGCCAACAATATTTCGGGAATAACTCACTCGCAGAAGAATATAATCACGAGAAATATCTCCGATGAGAACACTCTGGAGATGAATGTCTTGCACAACACCAACGCCAACACAACACCGCATCAGCTATTGTCTCAATCGATGGACTTTTGTGATAATAATTTGGGTTACAATACAGACGTCGACGAGAGTGAGTCCAACAGCGAAGAGTCCTTCAACTTAATGAATGGTAATCTGATCCGTTCGATGAGATCGCAGTTTGATTCGATGCGCTCTCAGTTCGAGACCATTCTTCCAGTTCTGGAGAATCAGTACACGACCGCCAATGGGAACATGAACTCCAATATGAACGCCAACATGAATGTGAACCACAACCTCAACAGTCATGAAAGCCAACAGCAAACCAATACTGCTATTAGTAGTAATTACATGAATAACCAGTTTTTCCATTTAATGCTTTTGCAAAACTATCAGATCCTTCAACAGCAACAGATGCTTCTCCTGTGGCTCCAAAACCAACAAAATCAATGCCAAACCCCTCACCAACAGTCGCCACCGCCTTTGCCGCCACAACCGCCACACCCGCAAAGACATCATCACAACCACAACCATACGGCCCACCACTATATGAACGGCAGATACCCGGCGGCCAACATATCATCGATCGGACAGAATTCAGTTCATTACCCGAACTCTACGATGAATTCCGCGCGAAATAACGCCTCAAACGTCCACAACATGACAGCCCTTAACAATCAGGTCATACCCGGAGTTCGCGCCAACAACTACTGGGATAACTTCAAGAGCTATTCGCGACAAAACAAACTGAGCGCTCACTCGTCGGCCAACAGTAAGTGCAATGAGAACCTGTCGCTCACTCACAACCAAATGGTGTCGCCAGTGATGGGCGCCGTGAACGACCACCAAATGCATCACAACACGAACCACTCGCACGACATGGGGTCCAAAGGGTTGGTGACGCTGTCGTCGCCCAACTCAACACTGGGACGACAACACGCGTACAAAACGGCGAACGCTAGTCACGTGCAGTGCGTCGAACACGTGGAGAAACAGCAGAATTTGCCCCAATTTAACGGCGACTCCAATGCCTCCATTGCCCACAAATCGCAACATAACTCCGATTCCAACAATTTTGCGGCTCTTTTCTCCATTTTGGAGAAACTCATCGAAAGCGACGACAAGTTCGCCACTAAGGCGTCGGCCGCTAAGAAGAAGTCGACTAATTTGGTGATGACTGCCTCAGACAATGACGATGAGTGCATCGGCGGTGCTGTTGGAGGTGTAGGTGTGGCCGGTGTGGCGAATGTCAACTCCAATCAAACACAGACGGATGAGACCGACGGTTCCAATAAGAGCGTCCAACAGACGAGTGGTGTGGCGTCCGGGCGCTCGCCGTTGACGTCTGCCTCCAATATAGCCATCCCTTTGCATATCCCCGCCAGCAGTGGTGCTATAAGGAAGAAGCCGCGCAATCAGGAAATACTCGAACTCTCCTCCAAAGCCGACAATAGCGACAATTTTGGACATCCGTTGGTCACGGGATCCGAACTGATTCGACCGCTAATGGCAGCTGAGGGCCGCTCCTCAGAGACATCGGTTTCCAACACAACGGTTCCACCGAAGACACCGATTCTGTCGACGCGTCCGCCAACCACTGGCTGGCCATACGAATGTGATAGTGATAGCAACGCCTCATCTGACGATCAATTGGCAGAAGCGGATCAGACGGCCTCCGAGTTAGTCGTTTCCGAAGCCGAAGCCATTATTCACACCAATAATAGCGCCAATAATTGCAATATTAAGATAGTGATAGCAACGCCTCATCTGACGATCAATTGGCAGAAGCGGATCAGACGGCCTCCGAGTTAGTCGTTTCCGAAGCCGAAGCCATTATTCACACCAATAATAGCGCCAATAATTGCAATATTAGTGGCAATTCGTTGAATACAAATAACAATCAATCAGTGAATCCGGTGAGCGCTCAGACATTGGACACAACGCAGAGGTCGTCGACTACTGACGACATAAATAGTGTCGTCACTAATGATACGGCAGTGGAAGAGGAGGATGAAGACAACATTCTGGCCAATGATCTAAATGAGAGCTCAATACGACTCAGTGGGGACGGGGAGCAGGGACTGTGAGGGCTGTGGTTGCAAACCTCCCTCTTATAGAAAATCTCTAATGTTTTTGTCTATTAATATGAATTTGGTTTTAATTTTTCTATTTAATGTCTTTTCAGTTATTCTTTTAATGTATTTTCCTATCAATTCGTTTGTCACTCTTTTTTGTTGTTTTAGTTTTATGTTTAACTGATTTAATAATTTAAAAAATTATATTGTCTTTAATTAATAAATTGATTGCAAAAATAAATCATCAGTTTTTCGACCATTTTTGTCACTTTTAATAATTCCTTTTATATTCAACTCATTGAAAGACAAATTCATTGAAAACTTAAACATCTATTCTTTATGTAAATGAAACACAACATTGTTTTGCTATTAAATCACATTAGGATCACAAGAATTGAACGAATCTGTATTCATCTGTATTCCTATTCCTATTCCTATTCCTATTCCTATTCCTATTCCTATTCCTATTCCTATTCCTATTCCTATTCCTATTCCTATTCCTATTCCTATTCCTATTCCTATTCCTATTCCTATTGCAATAATAATGAAAACTATTACCAAAAGTCCAGAATTGCTATTATTGTTGGGTTCAGTAGGTTGGATGGGAGGCCCGGCATTTGTGCTTGAAAACGATTCCTTAGCTAAATAATTACACGATTCTTGACCACAATTATTAGCTAAATAATTGTATCAATTGAAATTGAATGTTAGTTTTCAATAGATTTGAATCTAAAAAGTTTTTGACAATTTTTGACCGCCTTAATAGTAAACGTCACTAAAGTGTCCACTATTTGTCCCCTTTTATCACAACTTGTATTGCATTCAATTGAAACCCCATTTCGTTGAAACCGTACTTTTCGTACGAGATTTCACAAAAAATATTTCCAAATTATACTCTAATATAGCGTTACATGTATTGAACGGAGCGATACATTAGACATACAGCACATGGGCGACCATTTCTATGGGAAGCTATGAGTTAGGGTCCAAACGGAGTGTTATATCGATGACAGTGTTTGTGAGCGACTCATATGTGACGTATAGTTGCAAAGAAAGGATTTATTCATTAATGAGACAAATGGCGGACCAATTGATCGGACAATTGATCCTTCATTTCGGGCATCGATTTGTTTGCACTGATTGTGGGCTCACTCGCGCCCAACCACTTCACACCTGATCCACGCGTCGGAGTCGAGACACTGGACGCCATGCAGACCATTGAGTACGATCTGAACGTATCCGGAGGTCTAATGCCTGTAAGCTCTGAGACAATCACTTTCCGCCACTTCTTACCACTCATTGAATGAATTGTTTCGATGACTCTATAACTCATAACTGATGCCAATTGTGATCCCTATCTCTTCGGACAGCAAATCAACGCATTGACGGCTCCGCCGACGAGCGACGAGTCGAGCCGTCGCCGCAAACTCAAGAAATTGTTTCGATGACTCTATAACTCATAACTGATGCCAATTGTGATCCCTATCTCTTCGGACAGCAAATCAACGCATTGACGGCTCCGCCGACGAGCGACGAGTCGAGCCGTCGCCGGAAACTCAAGAAATCGATGGCCAGACCATCGCAGGCACCGCTGAGTAACGACACCAACAATAACAGCAATTATGGCACCAATCGGACCATTCTTTCGCGTCAGACGAAGACCGGCAAAGCGCCGAATCACGAGTACTGCGACTCCTGTCGAGAGGGCGGGGATCTGTTGTGTTGCGACCGCTGTCCCAACGCTTTCCATCTGCAGTGCCAGTCAGTCGAACCACTCATACATCCCGTCCTATCATCCACTCACTGATTGCCATCTCTTTTGATCCATTAGTGACCCGCCTCTGGACGAGGAGGACGTGCCTCCGGGCGAGTGGTTGTGCCGTAAATGCAAACAACTCGTGAAGCAAGAAGTGGACGAATCAGAGGACGAGAGCGTCGGCGACGATGAGAGCGAGGATATGGTGGACAACAAAGACATTCAGAAGCCCTTCTCATTGCTGATACGGGCGGCGCAGACGTTGAACCCCAAGCAGTTCCAACTGCCCAACGAAATGGTGCCATCGATTCAATTGGTGGGCACATCGAAGCGCGTGAACCACAGCCGCAACGGCCACAAGAAGCAGATCCACGAGATGGACAACAGTATGGTTTCATTTCCCGTCAAATTGTGTTATCAGTGCTCAAAGAGTTGCCGAAAGGCGCCACTCATTCAATGCGATTACTGTCCGCTTCTGTTCCACGCGGACTGTCTCGAGCCGCCGATGACTGTCCTTCCGATGGGGCGCTGGATGTGTCCGAACCACTCGCAGCACGTGATCGAACAAAAACTCTTGAATTCTGTGAGTTTGAGCGAACGGATCAAACTCTGGGACCAGTTCTCGGGTCCCATATCTCAAGACACCATTAAATTAAATTTCCTCAAGAAAGTGCACCGAACGGCCCCTCCCTTCAGGACGAAAGTACCCTTACCTCAGACTCAGCGCGTGGTTGTGCCCGAAGCCATCAAACAGATGTACAAAAGACGTCCTCCACTTCTGCCAAATGTGAACCAATTATCCATTTATGACACCAATTGTGGTTCGAGTGAAACGGAGAGCGAGTGCCTAAAGAGTCGTCAACACGAGAGACCCTCTGTTGAACAGCAGGAGGAATGGCTCTCCAGTTTGATTGCGTTCCAATCGAGTGCTGCACAATATCTGATGTCAACCAAAAGTATGGACTCAAAGAGCAACTCATGTCTGGCCATCACATCCGGCGCCGTCGCCGGCAAAGACTCTACCAATGAGTTGACTCCGAAAGTCACTGAAAACTCTGTGAAATTTAATTCTCAATCTTCAATGAACGGTCCGATAGACCACTCATCCGAAGACACCAACTCTCTGACAAAAAAGGACACCAAAAGTGATATCAAAGAGATAGTGACCACTCAAATGAATGGCGAGAAGTCGTGTTCATCGCCCATATCTTCTCCCGACAAACGAATCTCAATTCAAAGCAATTACTTGAATGCAAACATTGAGACGATTGCAGACATCAATCGATTGGACGACAATTTGGTGCGGATTTTAGCTCTTCAGCGGATACAGCAGTTGAACAACAAGTCTAATGAAAGCAATCATAATATGGTTGTCAGCGGAACCAGTAGTGGACAGCAGATGAACACAATGTCTTCATTTCACACAACTATTAGACGAATCGGTTTGAATGACGTGAAGGCGCGGGCGGTGTTGTGTCCCATTGTCATCAAGTCGAGCACCGGGGGCTCGTCCAGCGGTCCCACAATCGCTATGTCGTACCGAACGCTGACTATTGGCACGAGTAGTGAGAATGATGTGGTTTTAGGTGATTACGGGCACTGCAACTATGTCTCACCCAAACATGTGGCCATTTTCTACGATGAGGTCAGTATTGCAGCCATTGTTTGCTAACAATAGCATACCAGACATACCTAACAATAGCATACCAGACATACCTAACAATAGCGTACTTGCAAACCAGACATTTTCAAACCCAATCAGTGTTTAAAATTATATTTGACTTAAACTGTAGGAGAATAGTGTGAAAACTTGCATATGCTTTCAAATAGACTATTTTCAGTGTTTATTTTGTACTACAATTGCATTGAATTTTTAGTTTTATTTTATGATAGGTATACCGTATGTTATAAATAGATTTATGTTTATATTTAAATGAGTGATTAAATGGTAATTAAGATATGAATTACATTTATGTTGTCAGACATCTCGCAACTATGAACTGATCAACTATTCAGAACACGGGACTACTGTCGACAATGTGTTGTATTCGTGTGACTTCTCCGACAAGAGAGTGCATAACACGAGGCACACCAACTCGCAGACAGTGTCGGCCGTCAAAGACATCATTGAGACGTCGAAACAACGCAAACGAAAGTCTTTGGCCAACAAGAGAGTGAAGGGCTTGGCGACGACGGGCCGGGAGCCGAGTCCCGAGAAACTGAAGCCAAAGCGCAGAAAATCGATTAAAAGCGAAGACTCGGAAGAAAACGCACAAAAGAGCAACGAATTTAAGTCCAATAAAATTGTCTTCAGAAAGGATTACGACTCGGAGAACGTGGAACGGGTGTCCACTCACACCCAACCGCCCCTCACGATGAGCGCCCGCTCGGGACACCAGCACAAGCCGTGCGCCTGTAAGTCGAGCTGTTCGTCGCTGATTGGGCCCAACGGCGCCGGTTGGGAGGGCACGGCTCTCCTCCATCACGGCTCACACCTCAAGATCGGATGCAAGGAATTCATATTCAGTATCACAAACCATGGCATCACTCAACCCAATGCCAACACCAATCAGTCGGCCCCTCACTCAGCCATCAAAAGTCCCGTCAAATGCGAGTCGTCTTCGAGTTAATGGCTTTTATTTTCGGTTTTTGTTGTATTTCTTAATTAGACAGCGCCTGCCATTCAACACATTTCTCTAATTACAGTGTTTTAGTATTTAGACAATTGTTGTCGAGATGTGTGGAAATGGAAAGCAATGCTGAACTCAAATCAAATTACTTTTTTGTCGCAACAACTAGTCTTCGGTTATAAATTCATTAGAAATACAAAACATTGTGACAAACGACACCATAAGACTCATTCAGATTGTATTCACCACACGATTAATAGATTGATTAAATTTTTCTGTTTTGACTGAAAATCTATAAATTCGAGACAAACCGTTGAGAATATATTTGGGAAACTAATTGTAAATAATTTTTATCTATTTGTTGTACAAAAATATCTTATGCATCATGAGTTTCACTGACAAATGCCATCAATTCATTCATTAAGTATTTGTTTATATAATTTAGTAATTTATGATTTTAAATGTAAGCGTTTTTGTGCTCAAAATTTATTCATTTTGTCATTCATTTCTCACTTTTAATATAATTATTATTAAGTCGTTCTTAAGTTTTAATCTTAAATTTTATAAATTGTATAAAAATTATTTAAACCCTTTCGCCGATCGAGTGTTACTTTTTTATTATATGAAAATTCTTGTTTTATTTCATTTTATAAATGATTAACAAAATTGAATAATTAATTTAAAGGCTCTAAAATAAAACACTTGTTTTCGCTCTGAATAAAAATAAATATCATTTCATTACAACCGCTTTCTAACGGCGTTTGGGAAACAAAACAATTGAGAGTGCAATGCATTTGAGGGTGAAATGGAAATGAACTTTGGGAATGCTTTTCGTATCAAACAAAACAATATAATATATATATAATAAATGTATAATTAATTAAAAGTACTTCATATGAATATACGTGATATGAATGTGGTTTAAGTACTAAAAATGATATCAAATGCAAACCCTTTCCCTCCAATACTATGAAGCGTTTAATTGTTTGCTGTTATCGTTGTTTAAGTTATTCCTCTTAGGAGTCGCGCTATTCTTCTTCAACGCCTTCAACTGTTTTAAGATTTTTGAATGATTTGCGATTTGCCGGAGGAATACGTATACGGCTTCGGGAGTGCATCCGCTCCGCAATAGATTCAACAGAAGGCTAACCAT